TCCTCCAAACAATGACGGTGATCAATGGGTACGTAGGGATATACTACTGAGCTTCAGGAAAAAGAAGGCACCAGAAGAGGATCATCGAATTCAACAATTTTGCAGTGAATTCGCTCCCTTATTTAAGGTTGAACTGGTGTTGACCAAGTATCCCAACCAGTATTTCCAGAAGAAGATGAAGCAGCTTCATCCCATGTTGACAGTTTTGGAACAGATGAAGAGCTTCCAAGATCCATTTGTGCAAATGCTTGGTCTAAAGGTTCGTATGGTGCAAAAGCTTCCATAACTTGTATAAATGGGGGTGGATAAGTGTGGCCAATAAATGTATGAATGTTCTTTCAAGGTCAGTTATCATTATCAAATACCTCCTTGTATACTCGATCAACATAAGAGAGGGCTTGATTGGTCATTGAAGATGTATTAGTCCTTTCGGATACTCAGATAGTAGAGGAAGTGTTCAAGCGTAAAGGAGAATTTAATGAAGTTCAGTGCCTCATTTCTAAAAAGACGGTTACACTTCTAAGATAAACAAAATCCATGCACGTCCTAGGACGTGGATAGAGTGTATTGATCCACTAATATCACCAAGTATTGCATATATTAGTGCGGGGGGTAATGTTGGCTACATATTTTGTATAAGCCAATCCCAGCTTAACACGTGGCACGTAAAGGGTAATTTAGGGAGTTAATGTAAGCTTCCAATCAGCAATAAACACGTGGCAGTTCATATTGGTAATAATGGATCTGCGCAGCAGTGAAATAGCTAGAAGGCGCAAGATGACGTGGCCCAATGGTTACTCACAAATTCAAATTCAAATTCATGAGGGAAGTCTAACTACAAGAATGTGTAGTGCAAGCTAACTGTAAGAAAAAATAATCAGGGATCATGGGAGGACCTTTCGACAGTTGGAAGCCCACTTCGACGGTTACCATTGGAAAGTATAAACAGAAAAGACGGCTACAGAATGAAGGACCCAGACTCAGATCCAGAAACTAATTTATTTACTTCATATTTCTTTCTAGTTTTACATTTCCAGTTCTTCAATTCCTGTATTGCACTTCATTTCCTATGAGTAGTTTCAAGTAGTCACTGCTATAAATCTTTTCAAGGCTGGGCCATTTCATTATAAGTTCCTATTTACTTATTGAAATTCAGTTTCTAAATTGTTCTGTACTTGTTATTTCTTATCAATTTCTCTTAAAACAAACCATTAGTAAAAGTCCTCTTCATTGAGGTTGAAACAATTTCAACACAATCGTCTAATAATTGATTGGTAATTAAAATTCTGTAAAGACTGATTGATCCTTGCTACTATGTTGAAATTTACGCTATTAACTCTCGAAAGCCAAAAAAATTAACAATAATAGAAATAATAGTGATTTTGAAATTGCGAAGGGGATGAGGGGAATTGTATGTAAGTAATTCTTGATAAATTTTAGTTTATTGAATAAAATTTCTAAATCCGTCTCTATGTTGCACCTCATTCATATTGTTTTGAATCCTAACTTAAAGTAATATTGGCAAATTAAATAAAAAGATTTTCAACTTCTCTTTAGATATCAGCTATTGGGTAATGGACCCACTAGTAATTCCCAGCTTTTTCATTCAACATATGAGCGCACACTCTCATGCAATTGGCTATAATAAAAACATGATTGTTGTATTATTAAAATCAAACTTTTGAATTCCTTAACCATCAAAGTAAGCAAGGCAATCAATTTTTGGGCTAAAAAAACAACAAAAAAAAATTTGAGTAAATAAATTAATAAGATAAAATGTCACATTTAAATCATAATCATTTCGTTTTTTTTTACCAAAATTAAAAAGGTCAAACCAAACAAATTTTTAATCACAAACTAATCTTGTTTGCGAATAGGCTATTTTAGTAATTTTTTGACTTTTTATAAAAAAACATTCAGAAAAGTAAAGAGAGTGATATAACAACTTATAATAACTTTTTAACTTTTTAATTTTTTAATTAAAATAATTACTTCACAAATAATCAAAAAATTAAAAAGCCAATTAAAAAAACTATTGCAAAACAACCACATAATACCCATTTCAATGGCCATCATGAACAACCAATAACAACATGATGTTTTCCTGGTCTTTAATAAATCATTTGGTTTCTACATGCTAACAACCTTTTTTTTTTCCCTTAAACAAACGGACATTGTTTGGCAAGTTGTTTGTGGCTAAAATAGTTACAAAAGACAAAATAGGTTATTTTAGTCACAACAAATAAAATATCACATCTAACCCATAATCATTACACTTTTCTCTCATAAAAAGTCAAAAAGTCAAAAAACCCTTCACAAACTAAGTTTTTTAGCCTAGACTAAAATAGTCAAAAAATCAAAAAAGTCAGTCCACTTCTAAAATGGAGGCTAATTGTTATTCTCTTTGTCATTTCATAGGACCCAATTCTAATTAAAATAAATAAAGCAAGAATACATCAAACCGTTTTTTTGGCGTGAATCTTAGGAAAATGATTCTCCATGCTTCTACAGTAGAAACAATTGGGTTGGTTCCTTCAATCTAGATCTGGACAAAGGTATATTGTTTGGTTCGGTGAAACTTACTACGGATTCTATTTTAATAATTCAAACATATCATTTTGTAAAAATTTTCACGTATATTATGTATAAAAAAAAATTAAGTTAAATTGATAATCGTAACTTATTCAATTTATCACGTTTTGTTACAAAAAAACATAAATAATTTATTTTTAAAAATATATTAAAAATAATTCTCTATACAACTAATAAAATCTTTTCCAACTATAATAACTTCAAAAAGTGAGTTTTTTTTTGGTTTTTGGTGTGAAAAAGTGAGTTAAAAAGCCAATTCTCAAAACTTGCAAGGCATCATCCCCATCATAGTCCAAAACTGAAATAGATGGTTACAATAATCTGAATTAGTTAATTAATAGCACAGTAAAACAAACTAATTAAGGCCAAGTGAATGAGATAGTATTAGGACTGTAAATGAACAGAACTGTTCGTGAACAAATTCGAATTCGGTTTGATAAGAGCTCGTTCGAACTCGGTTCATAAAAAAAAAAAATTCCGTTCGAGTTTGAGCTCGAACTTGTTAAAATTTTAATAAATAAGCCCAAACATACTAAGACTCAACGTGCTTAACATTTATTATTTATATATTAAATAATGTAAAAATATGAATAAAAAATAAAATAAATATGTTATTTATATATTTAAAAAATATAATTGTAAATAATAATTAACTATAAATAATACATTTATATAATAGTCGTAGTAGGATAAACTACCAACATGTCTTAATAGTTAGATTTAATTCCCATCAAATTTTATTGAAAATAAGTCTTGGTAAAATTGTAGCTAAAAATAATTTTTTTGTGACAATTTTTTATATACATCGCTAAAAATTGACAATTAGAGACTTTTTTTGGCATAATTTTTATAAATTGTCACTAAAATTTACAATTAGTGACATTTTTTTATGACAAATTTTTTTCATAAGACCTATAAAACAATAAGAAAAGGGTATTTTGGTCTTCTTATCTCAAATTGGACCTAATGGAATAGTCAAAAAGAATATGGGTTGGATGGAATAAAGCTCTTAGAAAATGGATTTATCAAAAAAACTCCCTTATAAATATTGTATATATAATTATATAATCAAATATTTAATTGTAACTTTAGTTTTATATGTAAGTATGAATTTATAAATTCTTGAACTTGTTAAGACTCGTGAACAGACTCGAGCTCGAGTCAAGCCTAAGTTAATTCGGCTCGAGTTCGATTCGTTAAATTTTTATTAAACTCAAAATCGAATTCAAATTCGTTAAAACCTTAATAACTAAGTCTAAAGATATTAAAATTTGATCCAACTCGAGTTGATTTGTTTGCGACACTAATTATAATGACACCTACCCCCACAAAAGAGAAATAGCATATGCTCCCGGAATCTCACTTGTCACCGGTTTCGGATCCAGAGTCTCTGTCGTTTTGACTTTATTTCATTTTTTAATTAATTAATTAATTTTTTTTTAAAAAAATGTTACAATCCAAATTGATACACAAAAAAATAATCAAAAAAAATATTATTCCTATCAAATTTATTGTAATTTTGAATAGCATCATACAAACTTAAATTTAGATCTTGTTTGGCATGAATTAAAACAATTAAAAAATTACTATTTTATTTAAGTCAGATCATCTTATTTATGCCACATCACCTCTCTAACACATCACTTCAAATCCAATCTATACCCAACTCATATTTCATAAAAAGTTAAAAAATATACTTATTTAGATCATCTCAAATCACCCATTAGACTACACCTTTTTTTGCGGGGTAAATTTCAGTGTATGAGTTTTGTGCCGGAGAATTTAATTTGTAAATAAGTAGATACAAAGAATTACATCTCAATAATTAATAATCATAATCTAACAAAACAACCAACTTAAAAAAAGCTCATAATAAAAAACAGATAAATAACACAACCAGGAGTCCTCATACTAAGGGATAAATTATCAATTGCATTGGGGTGGTCAACTTAACTAATTTAGTGAGTTGATTTGGAGAGAAATTTATGAAATAAATAAATAAATAAAAAGAAAAAAAAAATTATTTATAACTTTTTATCAACAAATGATATTGTATCAGCATTACATTTAAAAAAAATTAATTCAAAATCTAGACTGTTTTTCTAATATAAAATAAAATAATGTTATATATATCAATTAATGTACTAAAGTATACTAATAAACGATGTGCCATACTTTTAAATATTTTAAATATTTATAATTTATATAATAAATAGAATCAACAAAAATAATATAATATTAATTAATATATTAATTAATACATATAATCTCACCGATATAAAATGTCCACGCACTTGTGGCTTTCAAAACACTGGAGGCCGTGCCCCATCACTTCCCAGCAAGGCAATTCATTGGCGTAGAGAAGAGACGAAAAAAACCTTTATATAAGCCCACAATCTACAAACCAAGATTGTGTATACCCATTAATCTCTCTCTCTTTCTCTCTCAAGTCTAAGTCTCTTTAACACACCATTCCACACTCGCTCCTCCCAAATTACCATCTTTTTTAAGAATTTTGCATCAAGATCTGAATTGGGTTCATCTCCATCTCTAGTAGGTCAAATTCTATCATTCATACCAGTTGTAGAGATCTGACAGTCCAGCTCTGTCTGTCAAAACATTGTCATAGCGTAACTCACAAGCAAAAATCAAACCCATTCGTGTTCTTTTCGCAAAGCCAACACACACACACACAAAACACCTATATATCAATGCACATACACTAGTAGTGACACACACCACTCAATCAAACACACCAACCCAACTCAACCCATCACAGTTTAGTCTCTCAATTGCTAAACCCATCAATGGAAAGGCTATCCTCCTCAGAAGCCATTTTTTCAACAGACAGGTTTGGCGGCGGTGACATGGCGGGGCAGATTGGGATGGTGTGGGAGCAGGCAAAGGTGCCATTGTTGGTGCCATTGCTGAGGTTGATAGTTGGGGTGTGTTTGGCAATGTCTGTGATGTTGTTTGTGGAGAGAGTTTATATGGGTCTTGTTATGTGTTTTTTAAAGTTGTTTCGGAGAAAGCCTCAGAAGCAGTATAAGTGGGAGGCAATGAAGGAAGATGTGGAGCTTGGCAGTGAAGTTTATCCTATGGTTCTTGTTCAAATTCCCATGTATAATGAGAAAGAGGTTGGTTGTTATTATTGTTATGTTGTGTTCTAATAGAAAAATAATTTGTAAGAAATTTTATATAAAAAATCTTAACAAAATAAAATGATAATGGAATTTTAAAAACAATAGATACAATTTTATTACATAATTTTATTTGTATATCACTATTCAATTGAAAATTTTATGCGACTCATTATCATTGTTTTGGTCTTAGCTATGAAAATGTAAAATTTGATTGGAAAGTAATCTTGAAAAGTATTCAGAAATGTGTTTGAAAAAATTATTTTGTCTTTGTATGGATTTTATGGATTGTTTTGGAAAATTAGTTAAAAGATAACTTTTTAATTTTTATGTAAAATAAAAAAAAAATAGAAAAGTGATGTGACCAAAATAAATTAAAAGTTAATATTTAACTTTTAATCATATTCCCAAATTGGCCCTTAAATTTGGGGAAGGATCTATGGAGAAAGAAAAGAAAAAGTGATCAAAAGCATAAAACATAAGTCAATTTTTTTCACTAGTCTTTCTCTCTTTTTTTCCTCTATAAATAATTTAATAAATTCAAGATCTAAACATAATTTTTTAAAATTTGAATATATGATATAGATTTAAATTTCAGAAAATAACATCACAGTGGCATCAGGAAATTTTTTTTTATAAATTAGTATCAAAGTTTATACATTTTAATAATTTAAATGTTATAATTTTTCTTGATTATGTAAACAAAATTTCCTAACCCCAATGTGATGTTATTTTTATTTCTCTCTTAAATTTAGTGTGATGTAAGACACACTATGATGAATCTGATCTACACATTTTTAAATTCTGAATAATTTTTTAAATATTTTGTTTTTGAGTATCTAACTTTACTAAAATGAATTTAATTGGAAACCAATAATGTAATTTTGTATGTTTCTTTAAACGCATGCAGGTTTATCAGCTATCTATTGGAGCTGCATGTGGGCTTTCGTGGCCGTCCGATCGCATCATAATTCAAGTTCTTGACGATTCAACTGACCCTGCCATCAAGGTTCTGTCATTAACCACTCTCCAAAACATGCTAAAAATAAGGGTAAATTACAAACACCCCTTAAAGGTTTAGTGAAAATACAGATTCTTTCATGAAATTTGAGAAATTATCTAGCCCCCTAAGATTTATATTTCCATAACAAATTGTTCCTTGAGATTTTTATTTTCATACAGATTCTCTCTTAATTTATTATGCAAATTTGATCCTCAAGGGACAATTTGTAATTTCTCAAATCTCATGGGAGAATTTGTATTTTCACCAAACCTCGAGGGGGGTGTTTGTAATTTGTCCTAAAAATAAAAAATAAAAAATCTAAACAAATAATATTTAAAACTTCTTTAAAAAAAAAGTATGCGATTTTTTAAGGGATAATTCTTAAGTGTGTTTAACTTGCGCAATTTTGTAAGGTGACTTACTTATGTTTGTAAGAATTTACTTTAAGTTGTGATTTCTCAAATTTTTATGAATCAACTTATACGAATTTATATGTAAAACTACATGATTTTGTAAGATAACTATGTATTTTTATGAAAACTTACACAAATTTACTGACCCCTTGCATATGGTGTGCAAGGGATTGCACACCCAAACACTTTCTTTAAACTACAAAGCCTTCGTTTGGGATGTGAATTTTTTTGACTATTTTAGCCTGAGGCTGAAAAGTTTTGTTTGTGATGGACTTTTTAACATTTTTGACTTTTGTGAGAGAAAAAATGAAATAATTATAGTTTGGATGTGATATTTTGTTTTATTAATTTTTTAGCCTATTTTATTTTTTTATAACTAAAATAGTCCAAACCCAATCCAAACCTTCCTGCCAAACAAACCCTTTAGTATTTGTACTGTCGTACATTATTTTTGAAATTTTGTACCTTAATTTTTCATAACAACATTTTTAAAGGGCTCTCCTCACTGCCAAATTATAATTTTTTTTATATTATTCATAAATTATTTGATATCTGATTTGGAAATCTGGTAGAAAAATGGAAATTATTTTGTTTCTTTTAAAGTTGGGCTGTTTTTAATCATTATTAGCATTGATATTGACTCAAAAAAGGAGGGTACTCCAAAAATAGTTACTTGCACTCTACTACTCTCTTACATGAGTGGAGTGCATCAATAATTTTTCCGATATCTTTTTCTAAATCCTGATCAAGGTTATTACAGTGCTAATATAGCAATTATCCAAATAAACTTACTATACTTTAAAAAAAAAAATTATTAGTAATAAATTACACATAATCTTCTCTAATCAAAATCTCTACTCTCTTTTTTGTATTCACTGGTATCTTAAAATTTATACTTTCATATTGTAATAATCTCTTTTCAACAGTATGAGAACATACACAGATAATTCAATATCAAGAGCAAATTAGATGCACCTGCCCATGGCTTCATCCAATTAAAAAAAAAAAAGAAAAAAAGAAATCCAATATGAGAACATATGATTATTTTATCTAAAAAATAAGTGGTAAAGTTAACATACCTACGAAGCAAGTCAAATCTATTAGATTCTCTACTTTATAACTTGCAAGTACCCCCATATGTATTAGATGAAAGAGTAAGGGTTGTTTTTGGAAATATAGTTAAATGTCGATTTTTTAATTTTTTTCGATTTTTTTTGAAAAAATTGTAAAAAAATGTAGATTATGTAAGGGAAGTGGTTGAGACCCCTTCTAATCACCACCCCCACTACCCCCATACATACGTGGCGGATGGTGATTGGAGGAGAAGGAAAAAAAGAAAAAAGAAAAAAGAAAAATTGGCCAATCAGAGACAGAGGGGGTCAAAACGAGTGTCTCCTTAAGGGGGTTAAAAGTTGGGAAGTGACTACTAACCCACTTTCCAAAAGAGTCCTATCTAGCTAAAATCAAATTGTGAAGTTTTAAATAAAGAGGTGTGATTTGATTGATATATTATAAATTTTGTACCTATAATAAAATTCTTGATAAAAATTTTGATTTTTGAGGTGGGTTTGTTCCATTTATTAATAATTTTTTATTTTTTATTAAAAAAAAAAAAAAAAAAAAAAAAAAAAAAAAAAAAAAAAACAGGACATGGTGGAGGTGGAGTGTAGGAGGTGGGCAAGCAAAGGGATAAACATAAAGTATGAGATAAGAGACAACAGGAATGGGTACAAAGCTGGGGCCCTGAAGGAAGGAATGAAGCACAGCTATGTGAAACAATGTGACTATGTCGCCATCTTTGATGCTGATTTCCAACCCGAACCTGATTTCTTGTTCCGCTCCATTCCTTTTCTTCTTCACAATCCTGACATTGCCCTTGTTCAAGCTCGCTGGAAATTTGGTAACAACCACAACCCACTCCTTCATTTTCTAACTTTTTTGTTCATTTTTTTTTAAATATATATATTTTTTTATATAAAAAAAAATTATACTTTTGACCTCTTTGTAAATTGCATTGATTTATCCTATAAATTTCATTTCAATTGAAATTTGGTTATTCATCACGTACGGCAATTCTCACTAAGTGGTGTTTTGAGATGTTAGTAAAAAGTTGACTTTTTGATTTTTTTTAGTCTATTTTATCTTTTTATAGATAAAAAAAGGAAAGTGATATATAATTCAAAATGGGTAAAAAGACTAATAGTTAAAGTGTCCAAAATTTCAATCATGACATCTATTTTCTTCCACTTTATACCTCGAAGCATACCCTTCTTAAAAAAAAAAAAAAAAAAAAAAAAATTGAGTAGATTTTTTACAATAAAAAAAAAAATTGAAAAAATGTCTAGAAAGGTTTTTGATTTTTTTTAGATTTGTCTATCCAATATTGACCTGAAAAGACCTGAATAGTTTTTAAAAAAGTTTGACATAATAATCCATATAAATCCACGTCCAACTTAACCTAAAATTTTGTCTATTTTAATCCAAGTCCAAAACACATTAACATAATACTCCAAATTTTTTTTTTGTGGACCTATTTTTTGCTTAATAATCCATAAAAAAATAAATGTGTCAGTAATTTTGTTCCTTTTACATTTTCATTTCCCTAGACAAATCCAACTTAATCTAAAATTTTCACTGTATTTGCTTAATCCTCAATGCTTTTATAGCTTCTTTTTTTTTTTTGATCTGTAAAATAAAATTTAGGGCAAATTACATATACCTCCCTTGAGGTTTGGTTAAATTAAAGATACCTCCCTGAGGTTTCGGAAATTATATCGCACCCCTTAAGATTTGTATTTTCATAATAATTTGCCCCCTGAGGTTTAAATTTCATAACAAATTACCCCCTAATTTGTTATGCAAACATGGCATTCAGGAGGAAATTTGTAATTTCTCAAACCTCAGGGAGGTATTTGTAATTTAGTCAAACCTCGAGGGGGTATATGTAATTTGCCCTAAAATATTTATTGACAAAATACAGTGATTTTTATGACAAAATATTAAAAACCAGTAATTTTTGATATAGTTTGTTGTACTTGTATATATTAAAAACCAGTGATATAGTTTGTTGTACTTGTATATATTGATTGACAAAATACAGTGATTTTTATATCGAGAAGTTTGAGAAAAACATAAGCTTTTATGACTATGTTTGGATCCAAATATAGCATAGAAGTGTGGTTTTTAATAGTACTTGAATAAAAAATTTGTAGCACATAAAATTTTCAGACTATATATGACAGAGGACTTGATTCTAACAATAACTAATGGTTCTTCATTAGCCAGTGATTTTTTGTATTGACACACATTTTTATTGTGTAGGTTGTGTTACTTTGTAAATAAATTTTAATTTAGCAGAAGCTTTTGGGTTAAAAATGGTTTTTGTTGGTGGTGCTGATATATATTGCAGTGAATTCTGATGAGTGTTTGATGACAAGAATGCAAGAGATGTCTCTGAATTACCATTTTACAGTTGAGCAAGAAGTCGGTTCTGCTACCTATGCCTTCTTTGGCTTCAATGGTAATAATTTGCACTTTCTTCCCCACCAAAATTGGTATCCATTTTGGTAGAAAAGAAAAGAAAAGAGAAGAAACTTTTTTTCCTGGAATTTTGATATGCTAAGGAGAGCGTGTGGGGAAATTTCACACTGCAGGGACAGCAGGTGTATGGAGAATATCGGCACTGAATGAGGCGGGAGGATGGAAGGACAGGACAACGGTGGAGGATATGGATCTGGCCGTCCGAGCTGGTCTTAAAGGCTGGAAGTTTGTTTATATTGGTGACCTCAAGGTATTACTTACTGATATTCTTAATGTTGTTTGCTGATATACTAACAAGTAACAACAATAATGTTTGCAACACTTTCTAAGTATGTGCAAATTAAAAACAACGGGTTCAAACCATGAAAACAGTCTCTCTGCATACATGATAAGACTGTGTACATCTGACTCTCTTAGATGTCACAATGACGAGTGTCATAAACTGAAACTGTCCTCTTTTTTTTTGGGTAAATTAGAAAGCACCAAGGATTTGAGAGTCTAATTAATATGAAATGAACTAAAACACAAGGAAACAAGAATAATGTAGAAAAGAGAGAACTTTCTCTGAATTTTATTATTCAATTAGTGACGGTTTCATCTCAAAGCGCACAACTCAATTTATAATAAATGTTGTTTGGTGACTAAGCCACAATTCACATCCTGAATCAAGCCAAAATTATGTAGCGTCAAAAACTACAGTAAATTTCTTAATTTGGGGGTCTAAACAATGAAATTCGTTGTATTTGTTGGGCCGTTTTAGATTGAATATAGGTGTTTTGGACTTGATCCAACTACTTCAAAAAAAAATAGCTAAAAATTATCATTTGAACGGTCAAATTGCTCTATTAACTTGTTGTCAATCACCACGGCATCACTAATGCACCTAGAAGCCAGTCTTCATAGTGGAGCTTCCATGAATGAGAGAGTCTAATAGAAGCTAGTTTCCCACACATCACACTTACCGGTCACAAGCGAGTGAAGAGTTGAGCTTTCGATAATTCAGCAAGCTTTTTTGGTAGGTGAAAAATGAGCTGCCAAGTACTTTCAAAGCCTACCGGTATCAGCAGCACCGGTGGTCCTGTGGCCCTGCCAATCTTTTCAAAAAAATGGCAATGGAAATCGTAAGAAACAAGGTACATATATATATATATGCTTTCTTTTCTTTTGCTTCCTTCCAACTTAAGACAAAAAGCCAAGTAATTTTTCTTTTATCTTTCTGGTGATTTCTTTGACATGCTGTTCCATTGCAGAAAGTCTCTCTCAGAAAGAAGCTTTATGTGATCTACAGTTTCTTCTTCGTTAGGAAGATCGTTGCCCATCTCGTCACATTCATCTTTTACTGTGTAGTTATGCCTGCAACCGTGTTGTTTCCTGAAGTCGAAGTTCCCAAATGGGGAGCTGTTTACATTCCTTCTACTATTACTCTCCTCAATGCTGTTGGAACTCCACGGTACCCTCTTTTACTTTGTTTTTCAAAAACAAAAACTGAAAACAGACCCCAATGGGCTAAAAATAAGAACAATTGAGCCTCCTCTGCTTTATGATCTAATTTCAGTTAATTTGTGCATATAATAACCTTGCAGGTCACTGCATTTGCTGGTTTTTTGGGTTCTTTTTGAGAATGTCATGTCTTTGCACCGAACCAAGGCAACATTCATAGGGCTGCTCGATGCAGGGAGAGTTAACGAATGGGTTGTCACCGAGAAATTGGGGGATGCTCTCAAGACGAAAGCTTTTTCCAAAGCTTCCAAAAAACCCCGAATCAGGATAGGAGAAAGGTATGTTTTTCTCATCAATTTGCTTTTGCTTCCAAAATCAAATACACCAATTGACATATAACATTTGAATGACAATTGTTTGTTGGTTGAAATGAGCAGAACGCATATTTTAGAGCTAGTGGTTGGAATCTATCTCTTCATCTGCGGATGCTATGATGCTGCTTATGGAAAAAACCGCTATTTCATCTACCTCTTCCTCCAATCCATGGCGTTCTTCGTTGCAGGATTTGGTTATGTTGGCACGTTTGTCCCCAGCTCTTAACCGGACCCCCTTGGAACATAAAAAATGTTTTTAGGAAGCATTTTCAAGTCAAATTATTTATCGGTCTAGATTCTTGAAACAAAGGGTGTTGAAAACTAGAAATGGTATCATAGAAAGAAGGGCTTTCGCTAGTAAATTATATGTGGAGATGAGAGAAGAAATGAATACGAGAGAGAGAGAGAGAGATGCAGATTATGGGCTTATGATCGGTGATGTAAAATCATTGTATTGGTTGTTTGTAATTGTAGTTTGTTTTTGTTGTTTTGAGATGAATAAAATGGTAAATTGAAATCAGAAGTTTTTATATTTTTGATATCTCTGTAAAAATGTGCGATCAATCAAGATAGTGTCAATGCTTTGAACTCTCCTCCCTTCCCACATTCATCGACACTGAGCTAGATTTTTCAATCTCAAAATTGAAGAAAGAAAAATTTTTAGACCCTCTTGTGCACAATAATAATTCAAAAAAAAAAAACTAGATTACTGTTCAAAATCAAAGCTTCATGAAATATACAAAGCACATACTAATTAAACTGAGAAAATATCATTTTAAAGATTGTTGTAGATGGTTAATCAGCCATCTATAGAGATGTAGAAGTTCCAAAAATCCATGCTTCATGAAATACAGAGAGCATATTTTTTTTTTTAGTAGAAAAAAATCCTTACAAAGATGGGTTAATTAGCTAATAATGATGCAAAAATATAGTAAAATGTGTATGACAAATTAACTCAATCGAAGATTAAATTTCAAAATCAGGATGGGTTAATTAGCTAATAATGATGTGTTAAATATGTATGAGAAATTAACTCATTTGAAGATTAACATTCAAAAAAAAAAAAAAAAAAGAGTGCAAAGAAATATATATATATATATATATAAATAAAAAAAAAAGGAGTGCACAGGAAAAAAAACTCATTTGAAGATTAAACATTAAAAAAAAAAAGAAGAGTGCAAAGAAATATATAAAAATAAAAAAAAAATAAATAAATAAAAAAGAGTGCACAGGGAAAAAATATTTGCTGGCTATGGGGTTCGAACCCATGCGCACTTATGTGCAGAAGATCTTAAGTCTTCCCCCTTAACCTCTCGGGCAAACCAGCTTGTTGAATCTAGTTACGTAATATTAAATATGTATTTATTTACTACTTTTTCCCCCCAACCCACAGCTTTTCAATTGTTTTTGATCAACATACTATTCTTTATACCATTTAGGCCTCATTTAGGAATAGGTTATTTTAATAATTTTTTAATTTTTTAACAAAAATATGAGGTAAAAAAATTAGTATGTTTAGGATGACATTTTAATTTTTTACGAAAAATGTGCAAAAAATAAAAAGAAAATAAAATCTTTAATCTTTTAGTATAAATTGTTGACTTTTTAATTTTTTTAATAAATTTTTAATTTTTAAGTTAAAAAATAATGTTCCTAAATGCGACTTTAATCTCTCTCTATTTAGGTACATTTGTATAGATTTTCTCCCTAGCAAACCACGAAATTGACACCACCTCTTTGGCTCCGTTTGGTAGAACTGTGGGAAAGTGATTATATATTATAACTTACAGTTGTGAACATAAGCTAGTAACCTGTTTGGTGCAGTTGTGAGATTGTGGATTTAAGCAGCAGAGTAGTGTTTGGTAAATAAGCTGTAAAATAGTTTTTTTCTATATAATTGTCATTTTTGCCCTTATAAGATATAAAATTTGTGATTTCATTTATAATACATTTTTTTCTTTTTCATTTTCATTTTATTTTCTTTTCTTTTTCTTTTCACCTTATTTTCTTTTCTTTTTTTAATTTTTTTTTCTTCTCTTCTTTCTTTGTTAATTTTTTTTTCAATTTATTAATTCATTAAAATTAATATTCATGTTCTAATTTATATTAATGTTGTGATTTCATTACATATTATCTTTCATACATTCATTATCAAAATTATTAATTTTTTTCTTACCTTCTTATCGTTTTCACCTTATTTTATTTTTTTCTTCATTAATTATTAAAATTAACATCAATTTGTCCATCAATTTGTCCATCAATTATTATTATTATTATTTTCATATTATTATTCTTTATTATTATTCATTTTAATTATTTTTAGTAATATTTCATTTTTTCATTTTTAGTAATTCATTTATTCATTTGACAAATCCTTTTATTAATAGTATCAATTATTTCAATTAATGTTGTGATGTGATTATATTTTATTTCAATTAATTATGTGATGTCATTATATATTATTTTAATTAATGTTGTAATATCAATTTATTTCAATTAATGTTGTGATGTCATTACATATTATTTTATTTCAATTAATTTTGTTTAATTTTGTATTAATTCTGTGTAATGTTGTAATATCAATTTAAATTAATTCTGTTTTTATTAAAAAAAAATTCATTGCAATTAATTTTTTTTTTGAATAAATTGTTTTTCATTTTATTTTGAAAAGTAAATATTAATTCTGAAAAGTAATTTTTTTAATTATGAAAGTAAATATTAATTGAAATAAATTGTGTTAAATATTAATTCTAAAAAGTAATTTTTAAAATTTTGTTTCATATTAAATATTAATTCCGTTTTTATTAATTCTGAAAAGTAATTTTTTCTTTTTTAATTAATATTAATATTGATTTTATTTCTTTTTTTTCAATTTATTTTCTAAGGTTTCAAAACCCTAGCTCCAGTAGCACAGCGGCGATGACCGGCGCTAGGGTTTGAGATCGCGATGGTTCAAATCGACGACGGCGTTGAGAGATCGCGATGAACTAAGGCTTCGCGATCGCGATGGCGACGACGGCATTGAGATATCGCGATGAACTAAGGCTTCACAATGGTTCAGACAGAGCTTCAAACAGATCTTTGCGATCGCGATGGCGACGACGGCATTGAGAGATCGCGATGAACTAAGGCTTCGCGATGGTTCAAACAGAGCTTCAGATCGATCTTCGCGATCGCGATGGCGACGACGGCGTTGAGAGATCGCGATGGTTCAGATAGAAAGACAGAGAGATAACAGAGCTTCGCCGGAGAGAGAGAAAGAGAGAGAAATCATCGCCAGAAATAGCTAGAAATCAACGCCAGAAATCGCCTCTCAGGCCGCCGAAAATCGCCTCACGCTCTCTCTCTCTCTCTCCGCGGACGTGAACAGTGTTTGATTGTGAAGTTTATATATTGGCAGTTTGGTAATTTTTCAATTTTTGAAGGGGCATTTAAGTAATTTTACCACCCACTGTGCAGCTTCGCGCTTAAGCTAAAAATATAAGCATCCTCTTAGCCACTTTTCAAATAAGTTGAATAATAGCTTCATTTAAGCTATAAGTTGATGAAATAAGTTGAGCCAAACACAAGTTTTTAGGTTAAATTAAGTTAAAAGTTGAAATAAGCTGTTTATAAATTCTACCAAACAGAGCTTTTACATCATAAGGTATTATGCACCGAGCATGTCACTACACCGGGGGTTAGTTCTAACCACTCAAGTACATCATTAGATATGGGGTCTTTTGGGAACTTATCAAAAAAGTTAATTTTTTAGCTTTTCAAGGTTTTTAGTTAAAAAAGTCAGTTCTTTTACCTAAAATAATCTAGTTTTTTGTCAAAAAAAAGTTACTAAAAAAGTCAAAAGTTAACTTTTTACCAATTTCTCAAAATACCACATAATTTGAACTTTGATTTTATGTAGTGTTTTGAAAAGTTAGCAAAAAATTAATTTTTTAATTTATTTTATTTTTTTATAAATAAAAAATATAATAAATGATATAATTCAAAATGAATAAAAAACTAAAAACTGACGTTTTTATTTTGTTCCAGTTTTTAGGTTAAATTAAGTTAAAAGTTGAAATAAGCTGTTTATAAATTCTACCAAACAGAGCTTTTACATCATAAGGTATTATGCACCGAGCATGTCACTACACCGGGGGTTAGTTCTAACCACTCAAGTACATCATTAGATATGGGGTCTTTTGGGAACTTATCAAAAAAGTTAATTTTTTAGCTTTTCAAGGTTTTTAGTTAAAAAAGTCAGTTCTTTTACATAAAATAATCTAGTTTTTTGTCAAAAAAAAAAGTTACTAAAAAAGTCAAAAGTTAATTTTTTACCAATTTTTCAAAATACCACATAATTTGAACTTTGATTTTATGTAGTATTTTGAAAAGTTAGCAAAAAATTATTTTTTTAATTTATTTTATTTTTTTATAAATAAAAAATATAATAAATGATATAATTCAAAATGGATAAAAAACTAAAAACTGACGTTTTTATTTTGTTCCAAAAGAGCCTTCTGTCTCGCCTAGCCTAACTCTTTTAGCCCTTGGGATTGGTGCACGAGTCATACAGGAAAAGTCAAAATTTGATCTTTGTAATGTGAAATTCTCATTCATATAGATTTAGGTTATGCTCGTGATTGCTGTTAATACTTGAAAAAATATGTTGAAAAATTAAATTGTGGTTGGTTTGATTTTCAAATCATAATTTTACATTAATAATTTATTCTCTGTTTTATTATAAGTTTCATATCATGATTTTAAATCAATTTTAGAACACATTTTGAAAACATGCTTGGTAAATCAAAGAGTTTTTGAATTTTTAGTCTATTCAGTCGTCTGCTCGGACGTCCTCCTAGATAATTTTTGAATTTTTAGGTCTACTTGGTCGTCTCCCGGACATCCTCCCAGACATCCGACTGGTTGATCAGAACAGTGATTTTTTTTTTTTAGCAACTGGCACTCGTTTTCTAGAAAAACAAAATATATTTGTTTTTGATATTTTTTAAATATAGAAAATATTTTGAGACCAAAATGACAAATTATCTGGACATTTATTTAAAATAAATAAAAAAAAATTAATTTGTCACAGTAAATTTTTTTTTTTAAAAAAAACATTTTTAAACAAAACAATTAAAAAAAATTTCCAACCAAATATACAATCAAATTTTTTTTTAAAGCACTAGTTAAATATTTTTGTTAACAAATAATAATATATTTTTTAATATTTTAAATAAAAAAAATATTTTCAGAATTTTTTAATTTTTAAATAAAAAATAATTTTTTTCAATAATTATTTTTTGTGAATTGAATTTTAAAAAGAGTTTGGTTATAAGTTTTTAAAAGAATTTTCAATAGAGTTTTGAGTTATATGTTTGGTTATGTATTATAAGTTTTTGAATTTGAAAACTCTTTTCAAAACTCATAATCAAATAACTTTTTACAAACTCAATACTCATTTCAAAAATTCAACACTCAATTCAAAACTCTTTTCAAAACTTATAACCAAACAAAATTTTTTTTTTCAAATCATAATTTTAAAACTCACAAACTCAAAATATAATTCCACACTCAAATCATAATTCTAAACACAAACCAAACGCTACCTAAACTTTTGGTATGCTCATGTGATTTTAGGATGCATTGTGATAGTAGTACTTGATCTTTAAAATGAGCAAGTAAATTTCCCATATTATATTTAGATGTTAGGTTTGTAGAAGAAAAAATAAAAGGAAAATGTTTGAGGGCCATAATTTTTGAAGTCATAATGACTCAAAATTATTAAAACGACGTTGTTTTGGATGCAAAACATGTCAAAACAACGTCGTTTTGGTAGTTTTGAGCAATTGTGGCCACAAAAATTGTGATCCTCTAGCATTGTTGAAAATAAAAATAAAAATAAAAACTTCTACTTTTACATTTTTTTTTTCTTTTCCACAAAATCCAAAATTCAAACATAGAAAATGAAATAAAATAAAGGACAAAGCAAAAGGGTAAGAATAATGTTTTAGAGCACTAAATTGGGAGCTCTAGAGCATCACTAATGATGTGGCACAGTGGCCCCCACCAAAGTGATGTGATGTTTTGGCTTGAGCAACAATGATTCATCCCACTAAAAACACCACCACTAATAGCACTAATGTATTAAAAAAGTAAAAAAATAAATAAAAAAATACAACTCCAAAACCAAAACATCACATCATTAATAGCGGGACCCACTGCCACCTAATTAGTGAGAGCACTAATTAGTGCTCCCAAGCATTTTTCTTGGCTTGAGTTTGTTTTTTTTTTTTTTTTTTAAACTCATTAGAACTATTAGTAGTCCAAAAATTAGTGGGATGAATCACCACTCAAAGGCCATGTTTGATTCCATAAGACTAATAGTGAGGTATTAATAATCCAATCAAATTAGTGTGGTATTCACAATCCCACCCCTACCCCATTACTAATAATCCTACAAATTTGTTGGATTAATTATCCATTGGATTGATAATCCTAAAACAAAATGTCAAAACAAACATAGGATAATTGAGCCCGCGGATTAATAATCCCAATCCCATGCTCTAATCCTTCCAATCAAACATGCCAAAAGGGTAATAACTTTCCAGAAAGAAAGAGAAAATTTGGATTTGGCAACTCCAAAAACTCTGCAGACAGATTATTCAGATTAGTGGAATAGAGACATACTGCAATGGTCCGTCATATGATAGTCAAAGATCCAATTTATTTATTTATTTTGCATGTTTGGATGAGCAAATAGCTTTTTCTATGTGAGGTTTGGATGTTAGATTTTAGAAGAAAAAATAATAATAAAATAACTAGTACTTAATTCTTTTTGACGAATTATAAATAAATAAAAAAAATTAAAAATCTTAGAGTTTGACCCTTGAAATAAATTTGTCAACTTAAATTCTAAATTTTTAATTATTTATTTGTGCTAAATAAAACTGACAAAACATGATATTTTAGTCACTGAAATCAACAAAAAATAATATTTTAAAGATTTTATATACAACTTACATTGACTTTAATAATTAAAATATCATTTTTTTCCCCCTCTCTTTTACTTAATGAAAATAAACTAATAGTCTAGATTAAAAACAATCAAAAAATTTAAATTTAAATTTAAACTGATAAAACAAAAAATTATTTTGTTACAAAGATCAAATTTATTTATTTATACTCGTTTTTTTTTGTTGTAATTTTCCCTCTTTTTTTCATTTTTAATTCTCAAACAAAATCCAAGTTTGAAAAATAAAAGGAAGGGCGAAGCAAAAGGGTAACAAACCTTCCTGGAAGAAAGAAAAATGTAAATTGGGAACTCCAAACTCTGCAGATAGATTATTCCACTTCAAAGATCCAATTATTTATTTATTTATTTTTATTTTTATTTTTTCAACCTGTCCTCAACAATTAAAAAAAGCATAAAGGTTGAGCCTCGTCCAAAGAAAAAAGCTTAGGAAAAAAGAGGAAACCTTCTTTCTTCACTGTTCCGAAGACACGTCATCAAACTGCACATCTATAGCCTATGTTTGGGAAGTTGGGTTTGAATTTTTTTTTTTATTAAAATAGTCAAAAAAATAAAATAAAAAATAAAATAAACTTTTTAATTCAATAAAACAAAACATCACATCCAATTCATAATCATTATATTTTTTCTCTAAAAAAAAACTAAAAAAAATCAAAAAAACTAAAAGCCTTCTCAAACAAGACATTTTAGCCCCAAACTAAAATAACTAAAAAAATCAAAAAATCAATCCACTTCTCAAACGAAGCCATAGTGGTGTTTAGAAAAATTGGTAAAAAACTGATTTTGTGATTCTTTTAAACTTTTTGACTGACTTTTTGCAACTTTTTTTTATAACTTCTTAGTGTAAAAAAACTAAAAAAACTAAAAAGTTCGTTTTTTTTAGTTTCTTCCCAAATTGCCCCATAATCAACTATGGGAATCAACAAACAACACTAAAAAAGAAAATAACCCAATGCACGATACTCCCACCACTAGACGATCTGGGAATTAAATCAAGCTTGGTTGGAAAGTGAAGATTGTGAAATTTAAAATCTCTTTAAAAGTTGTTGTCACAATCCTAACCTCCACTCTCTCCCATTGCAGGACCACCCATGTGAGGAGAAGGTACAAGTCACTAAAGCTATGAATTTAACATTTCCAAAAGCAAGAACCAGAAGAAACTAACAGGGACACACTGGTCCAACAAAGTAATACTGTACCAGCATGATGCAGCAGTTCCTTCCACTACCCACTCTTGCAAAACAACTTATTGGTTTTATTGTATTCTTGAATTCAAGGTGTGAAAAGGGATGACAATGAACTCTACAAAAATGGAACAAGCCTATTGCCCGAATTTAGGTCAGTTCAGTAAATTGATTGGAACTTTGAAAGTGAAATTTGGATTGGCTACTATAAATCCTGATTAACGAGCCCTATTCGTCTACTCTCTGGTGATTTTGATCTGAGATGGCCTCCAATATGTCGTAGTGTCCATAACCATGAAACAGAATGGTAATGGTACTGTCTTTATTATCCTTCTGGTAATCTTCACCATAATTTGCTATCTTTACCAAAGCACCTGAGCTTCTATCATGCATGAAGACGGAAATTGGTGTCCTGTGGCCATAACAAATAAAAAGAAGGTGGCATAATTTAAAGATGAAGAGGCAAATGATTAAAAAAGAAAAAAGAAACAAAAATATCAGAATTGCACTTCATATCTAAAAGACTTAGTCCTACTTCAACATCAAAAGCATTCGGGCACTGCTAGGATATTAAAGCACATAGTTGAATTAAGAAAGAGAGTTCCATTATCAAGAAGGAAAAATAAATAAATAAAAAGAGTTATTACTGAAAAAGAGTATAGAAAAAATGAAACATCATCATCATTTGAAATTCTTAGGCATAACTTAATTGGGTCAACTCTCATAATCGAAGTATGGAGGCCATAGCCCAGGGGAGGAGGAGAGTCGACTTGAAGTGGTGCACGTTCTAGTTAACTGGGCTAGTCCCAGTTGGGTAAGTCTAGAACTGTGTTTATCTTTCTATCAATCACGAAGACAGATATCGGTGTCATGCGGCCACAACAAATAAAAAGAGGCTGACATAATATAAATATGAAGGCAAGTGGTGGCGTGAGGGAATAAAATAAAAATAACAGAACTACACTTCCTATCTGATATGATTCTGTTTCATTGTCACAACATCAAAAAACACGTAGTTGAATCAAGAAAGGGAGACCCATCGTCAGCAAAGAAAATAAGAAAACAGAATCACTAAAAAGTGTATAAAATGAACCAAACATCATCATCGTGCTGAAAATTTGAAGCATAACTTAATTGGTTCAATTCTCCTAATTGAAGTCTGGAACTTTCTTTTTTTGGGGTGGAGGTCATAGCCAGGGAGGGGGAGAGTCGACTTGGATCTTTGACCTCTTAGTGAGGTGCAGGGGTTCTGGTGAACTGGGATAAGCCCCAATTGGTTGAAGTCTGGAACTTTGTTTCTCTCTTTTTAACTTCCTTCTGCGGAAGGGGAAGCTGTCATATCAAACCTAGTTTATTCTGTAATGCCAAACTAATAAATAGACAAATACCATTGTATATGAGGCAATATACAAAAACACTTTAATGAACACTATGATATTGTTTTTTGCACAGAAATTGCTTCACACTGACAACATAAATGCTTCACTGAAACAGTAAATAGAACTCACTTGAGAACATGGGATGCCATCAGCAACTCAGGCTCTCCACCCCATACATAAGGTTGTCGAATTCTTTCCACGTACGCATCAAAATCTCCTTCAATGAACCTAAAACCCATGAAGATAATGAATAAACACTTCCATACCAATTTAACCATGTGCAATAACACTACCCATACACTTATCAGAAATCTCACCATTCGGTCTCTTTCCGTCTCGTTAAGAGTTCATCCACAACCTACAAATCACAATCTGTTGAAAGAAGACACTAAGCAAACGAGAAATTTTGCTGGTAATGGTATTTAAAACCTACCTGAGCTCTCAGAACATCAGCTAGTTCTCTCTGACGATTCTCATCAGGAGCAGCTTCTCTGTTTCTCAAGCAAGCCACATGAGCTATTGCTCTAAATAGGCATCGACCATCAGCTGTCACCCCTGTTTTACAAATGAAATTTTGGAATCTACTTCCACTTCGACAACAATTTCAAACTATGTGCATAATGTGAAGTTAGGATGTTGTCAAAAGAGCAGTTTTTGTTTCTCAAAATGATACTTTTTCGATAAATCAAAAGGAAATTACATGTATGAAAATCTCCCAATGTGGGAGAGAAGAGTCTAACCCTGACCTCCTCTACCGAGGAACAATGTAGCATATGGTAATACACACCCAAAGACCATGCCTTAGAATTTTTTTTACCAAACACTCACATATAAATCCAAGTGCATGGAAAAAATTCACAAAATTTGATACAAATGTGAGACAAAAGGTGGGTCTCCGTCCCATTTTGAGACATTCTGTGGAAATCATCTGTGTTAATGGTAGAATTGTATATCTATCTTATGTGTTCATGGTAGAATTGTATATCTATAAGTATTGATGGCTCGTTTGGAAATTGACTTATTTAGCAATTTTTTAACTTTTTATAAAAAAATACGTGCAGAAAAGTGATAGAATAATTTGACAACTTGTATAAAAAGCGCTCTTCCCAAACATGGCCAAATTACTTATGCAACAACCAAACCAAACTGATGTGCCAAATTCCAACAACCAAACCAAACCAAACCAAACCAAATTCATTGAATAACCCATTATAAAAAATCAATCACATGCTTAAAATTCAACAAAAAAAAAAAACATGTAAATTCTAAAAGCAAACTTCAAAATTCAATATCAAAACATTCACATCACTATTTTTGTGTTTTACTTTTTGAAAAATCAAATCAATAAACAATCATTCAAACAATTAATAAATACAACTTTAATATACAATTGTGAAGTTAGATTTAACCTGTAAGTCTGTAATTAGTAGAGCTCTCGTCGTTCGTTTCAGAGAAGACGATCTCCTTACGACAATCTTCGAGATTGACGCCAACCGCGACAGCTTCTGGACTCGACTCGGCGCACTCCAACGGCGCCGCGAGGCAGGCGCAGACGCCGAAGAGGAGCCAAGCCGAGTCAGGTCGGTGGAGCCACCTAGCGGGCCGACTATCCCACGCGACGTTCCACGACCCTTCCCCCTTCATCGGCTCGTGGTGGAACGCTGGCTTCATGTAGCCGCCGGCGCCAGAAGGAAGAATCGCGTGCCATATGGAAGCCGCGCCAACACCCAAGCCGCCGCCTAGGAGCCGGCAAGCGGTAGAGTGGTGGCGTCGGGGCGGATGCTGATCTCCTCCGCCAAACCTTAGAGGGGTTACAGCAAGCCGGGCCGCCGAGCTATGAGAGAAGGAGAGGGAGACGAGGATCCAAGGCTTGGGGCGTGCGCACAGTACCCCGAGCATCACCGGAATAAAAGAACCTAATAAATCACTAACGTGCGCTAGTCGACGAGAAGACGGATAAAACTACGCACCCATTATCAGAAGAAGAAGAGGAGTCTGTCTATCTATCTATGTATCTCTCTCTATCTCTCTCTCTCTCTCTCTATATATATATACACACAACGCAACACAAGTGTCTATGAAAATGTCGTGGTTGTGGTTGGGGTTGGGGTTGGATTTGCTGAGGTTAGGTGACGGCGTAGCGTTTTAGAGAGAGAATGGGACCCACGAGGGGTTAAACGGAGGAGGAAGGCATCTTCCACCCAAATATTCCAGATTGTTCTTCTTAGGGTAAATTTATCAGGTAGCTTGGTAACATATTGTCGTTTGGGAATTACGTTGGTTTTTTGGTTTTTTGATTTTTTTTGTTATTTTAATTTGGGTTAAAAAGTTTAGTTTGGGAAGAATTTTTTGATTTTTTAGTTTTTTTTAATTTTTTTGTGAGAGAAGAGTGTAATGATTATGGGTTAAATGTGAAATTTTATTTTTTGTGATTAATATAACCTATTTTATCTTTTGTAACTAAAATAACCAAAAAAGTCTGACTTAGCTCTTCCCAAATGGTGATATATATATTATATACTAGTTTAACAAGACACAAATTATTATTACAATATATTTAAATTTTATATTTTGATAAATATTGCTCTATATAATTGAATAAAATAAATTATTAGATATATAATAAAATTATGTGGTATAATATGTTTAACATTTCTTTGGAATTTATACAAAAAAAGAAATTATAGTGTGTAATTTTTCTCAACAGATAAATATAAAATAAATATTAAGATAATTCTCTCATTCAAAAAAAAACTATTAAGATAATTCACTGAATTAATAAAGAAGCAGAAATATATATATATATATATATACACAAATGACTAATTTTATTAATAAGTAAATTAATAATTTTTGATGATATGAAAAATATTTTTCAGTTAACCATTTTGTTAGTAAATAAATCAATAAGTCAATTAACATTTTTTAATAATATGAGAAATTTTTTTCAATAAATAATTTTGATAATTTATTATTGCATTGGAGAATAATTTTTTTTCCTGAGTATTGTGTTAAATTAAAATTTATAAAAAACAATAGTTGTAATTTCTAGTATTATAGGACCGATTCATATTTTAAACAAATCTTTTGGGTGTATTTGTAATTTGCTAAAAAATAAAAGATTTTTATTTCATAATTGACCAAAAATGCTTGTGTAATTACGAAGAAACCTATTGTATTATTGACCAAGAATGTTTGCGTAATTACAAAAAAAACCTTTCATCAACATATAGACCACCATTAGTAAATTATTCAAAATGAAAAGACAAAATTGAAATGAAAAGATGAATCTCAAACAATTAAACGATTCTTATATATATATATATATACTAACAACCGGGCACACGCGATGCGTGTGCAATTTCTTTTAGAATTATAATATGAATTTTGTTTGCAAAACCCTATTTACAATCTGTCAATTTATAATTACAATTTTTACTAAAAAAAAAAAAAAAAGCAACAACAAATATTAACTCCACACCTAGGCTAAGCCAAAAAAAGTGAATAGGTGAAACAAAATTAAAAATGAACAAAAAATCCACTAAGGTTGTGTTTAGATTATAGATTTAAATAGGGTTTTGCAAACAAAAAAGAAATGATGAGAGAAATGCAAGTAAAATATAAGCCAATTTTTTTCTCCATTTCCTTTGTATTTTCCTTTCCTTTTCCAAATTCCTACCCAATCTATGATCCAAATACAACCTAAATATATGATTGATTTCAACTTGACTTTTGTTAAATGGAAAACCAGAAATTATGTGTATCAAAAGATGAGAAAAAGAAGTTATTGAGTGATAAACTGGGAGTAACAATGTATATAGCATATGTATAAGAATATGTGGATATTCATAAATCTATTGATATTCATCCATCAATATCTTTAATAAAATAAAATAAAATAAAATAAAGGAAATTGAGAAAGCTTGAATTCGAAAAACATAATCAACAATATTCAAACAATTTCAATTCTGTTATATTCAGAAAGCGATTCAGATTCAAAACAGTTATACAGATTGGGGACACAGCTATGTTCGTTTCTTTGATAAAACTATCAAAAGATTAACTAATGAGAGTCGAAATGCAGAGAACTTCACTTTTGTGAGATTATTCAAAGAAGTAGATTTAATGAACTTGATCTTCTTGAAGAAAACTGTAAAGTGATTGAATCCAAACACATGTATCGAAATGTGGATATCTTGATCAAGGATTTAACAAAAACACATCAAAAAATTTAATGCAAGAAAGCGAACTGTATAAGCAGAGAGAGAATGATTACTTGATGAAATTGCTCTGTATAAGCAGAGAGAGAGAGAGAGTGATTACAGAATTAGAAGATATTGAAACTGATTTAGAACTGCTGTGTAGTTTGGAAACGTGGGGGTGGTGGAATTGGTTGGTTTGAATTTATCATGTTACCATTAACTATAAATTGATGTTAGTGTAAAAATAATGTAATTATTTAAGAAGTTATGGCCATTTTAGGAAAAATGAAAAAAATTTCTAAGAGAGGCTTCAGGACACCAAAGTTCTTGTTGGCTTTTAATAATAGTATAGATAAAGTTTATAAATTTAATACAATCATATTAAATTTTTTTAAATTTTAATTCATAAAACACTTAATTCTATTTTTTTTATATTAATTACATGAATAAAAGAAATATATTATCATTTTTTATTCTAAAATATATATTTTATGTTATTTATTCTTACATGTTTACATCATTTATATTATCGTCCTTTGAATGTTATCAAAGCAAAAGTCAAATTATTTTTTTTTTCAAATTCTAAGAATGTCAGTATAATTTAATTTACTTAGTATTTTTCATTACAAAAATTAAAATATATTAGTCAATGCTAATACCATCATATTGCTTTTTATCATTTAATTTTTATTAAAGATTCATAAAACATATTATGAGTCAAATTTTTTACAGATATACTATTTTTTTCCCCAATTATTTACATAAAAGTGGGGCTTAGTATTTTGGAAAGTAGATCAAAAAATAGTTTTTTGGCTTTTTTATTTTTATTTTTATTTTGAAAATATATATAAAAAAGTAAAGAGGTAATGTGATTCAAAAAAAATAAAAAGAAATTGACTTTTAACCAACTTGCCAAAATAAGCCAAAATGTGAACTCCATTAGGCATCGTGAAAAATAGTGTATCTTTAATTCTACTCTACACTAGCGATTCATCATTTTTTTATCGCTTTTTTTTTTTTTGTCAATAAAAATTTCCACTAAGGTAAGAGTTCATCCAAAAAAAAAAAAATTACACCAAATAAAGTAAAAATCAATAAATCAAGCACAAAGGAATAATTATTAAAAAAATCTAGATGCACAGCTCATGCTCGTGCTCGTACTGAGATGTAGAAGCCGATTATAAGAATTCGGTAGTAGAGCATGCTTGAGAGAAATCATAAGTTACAACCACATAATCAGTAAGCTATAATCATGACACTGATAGACTCTAAGAAACACAACTAGAAAACCAAATATAAACAAAACAAAATAAATAAATAAATAAATAAAAACCTCAACCTTAGTACCAAACAACTATATTCGTAGAGGTGGGTCAGACCCATGGAAGATCTGGTGGCATTATGGTGGTGCCAGATTCGGCATGAGGCGGAAGAGGAGGGACATAACAAATCTAACATCGGTGGGAAGGGGAGAGGAGAAAACCAGTAAACTTCCACCATAATGGAAAGAACACCTCACAGGGAAGGAGAGGTTGAGAAGACTAAACTCCCCAGACTTGTTGAACCATAAAGGCAAAAAAAACTGAAAAACAAATGGAAAAAATTAGGAGATAGATGGCCAGAGGTCGGAGCCTCTCTCCTTCTTCCCACGCTGCACTCCCAAGCAAAGAAAATATATAAATTAACATTGTCTCTTAGCATCACATATTCAGCACATGCTCAACTTTTTGATTCCTTAGGTTTGTTCGAATCATGAGATTAAAAAATGTAACTAGATTCGCAATTTTGTACTTTTAAAATGGACTTAAGGAACCCTATGTAGGACACAATTCCCAATTGTTAAAAAAAAATTGTCTCATTTATAATATTTTTTCCACATCACTAATTAGAAACATTACATAAATAATACTAGATAATATTTTGAGACTATTCAAAAATTACTCCTAATATATCTATCTATATCTACAAGAAGCGCTCACCTTTTTCCATTTTACCCTTCTATTATTATCCTTGATACTTCATTATTGTTTTAGGCCTTTTTGATAATTTGGTCACTTTTGCGGATTTCTTGATAAATTTACGTTTTCTTTATTAATGATTTTAGCCTAACGTATGGCTCAATGATTACATTTGAGAAATTATTTTATTATCCTTCCTACTTTGAGAATATTTCAACTCACCTTTGTTTGTTCTGCCTAATGTAATTTTTTTGAGTTTGGAGGTCCTTTATAACATTTGGATACATTGGTTTTTATAGAATTTAGTACTTGTTTTTTGCACTATAGGACATGTGATTTTGTAAAATATCAATAGTCAAAGTAAATTTGAATTTCTCTCAAATTTAAACTAAACTTGAGAGAATTTAAGCGATTTGTGAAATTCATCATATGTACCGTTTTGATAAACTAAATCAACCGAAACATTTTTTTATCGCATTTTTTTAAAAAAAATAAATAGGTGTATTTTTAAAAATAGACCACTATATTCTTAAGAGACAAACACAATAAAATAAAAAAGTCATAATTATTGGATCAATCTAATTTTTTTTATTTTTTATTTTTATGAATGTGGGAGGATAATTTGTAAACAAATTAGGCCGAGTTAGGAAGAGTCTTTTTTGAAAGTTGGGCCACACAATGGGCCGAGATAAGAGCTGGTGTAGCTCGGTCTTAGGCTAAAAAGACATTAGGCTGGTTGCCAAGGGCTAGACCTAACTAACTGAAGGTAATCCTTTATCGGACCGAGATGTTGTCAATAGAGAAGGCCGAGCTATGTGTAGCTCGGCAAGATGCCATTTGGTAGCTCAACTTCCGATAACACGGCCCAAACAGCAGGGGACCGAGATAAAACGGCTTGGTCAGGAATGTATATTTGAGCATGAGGGTGTGGCCATCTCACTTGG